GCTTACCTTCCTTGGGCTCCCTTGCTTCTGGTTGGCGAGTTATGATTCACCTAGACCAAAGTTGCTCCAACCCTCAAATCAACCGCCAAACTCCAAGGGGACAAATGGGTATTGGTTCCTTTTGTCTTCATTTAGGTGCCGATCGGGCGAATGGTAGCACCCTGTCAAACGCGTGGACAGTCCTCAGGGCTTTGAATCCGGCTATGAAAACCAGGATCCCACCTGGGCGCTCAAATGGCGATTGGTTGCCTTTTTTCCTGTGCAAACAGCCCAAAAGGAGGTTCCCAATTCGCGATCCGGCCAATGTATTGACTCGAAAAGCGGACCAAGAGGTACCCTGCTTCCAGTCATGGAAGCGGACAGGGTTCAAAGCCCTGCTGTAGGCATCCAAATCCCCACTATAGACATCATCTTCCATGATGAAGGTAAACCACCCACATCCAAACACAGAACCCCAGAGAATTGGGGCATGCGTACGGGTGTCCAACTTGTTCCCTTGCTGCATCCTCCCTTGAAAAAAACATATCATTAGCAAGCCATTGGAAGCATCAGCATCAGCTCTCGAGGTTTCACCCTGTGCTGATGCAGAATCAGTGCGGCGATGTCACCATGCGCGTGTTGGAGTACGAGAGTCAACGGGCGCAGGCGGATTTGGGAAGCGAGTCGCGAGATTTGTGGGAAGGCATGCAGGGTTGGCGTCGGGCTGGCAGCTTTCTCACCAGGCGGTTTGGTCCTTTCATCCCACTTCAATGCCACTTTGAGACTTGAGGTTCCTAAGATAGACTCACCCCATCCTTTTTCCCTGTCTCTTCGTCCCTCGCGCGGTCTCCTCAACTCGCGACCCGACGTGAGGCGAGGAAGGAGGACATGCAGCGGCGCCAGATGCGGCTCGCCGAGCTGGGAGACGCCTGCACCGTGGAGGATTGAGAGAATTCGCCAGCGAGCGAGCTGACATTTTGTTGCCCGAAATGCCCGAAATGCCGGAAATTCGGACTGGAGGGCTTTGGGCACGACCGGTTTGAGGCTGCTTGGACCATCCACCTCCACTTGCCAAGCTTACGTTCCCCACATTTGGAGACACCCCCGAACAATGGAACACAATGAGGCAAGGGGGTATAGGGGGATTTTCCCTAGTTTGTCCCTTGACTGGATACATGAAACTTGAGCGCTTGCCCAAGGTGGAGGCCTCTCTTACCTGGGTTTTGTCCAGGAAAGTTCAAGAGGCTCAAAAGAAAGACGCACACACAGAGGTTTGCTCAACCACTTCAACGTTTACAGGTAGAGTGTTCATGTTGACTCAGCGTCGAGGTAGCAAACTTTAGCCTTTCGATTATGATCACCAAGTGCCGATGCTGTCGAGCAGGGGATATGCATGCTGCTATCACGTTTGCTTTGCAAAACGTTGTCGAGTGGCTGGAGCAGCGGAAGACGGTGCTGCTACAGGTTGTTTCCTTCACAGGTGTCAGAGAAAGAAATACAATGTTTTGCATGTGCTCCAGGGCATTTCCATTCTCACTTGAAGACAGGCTGGTTTTCTGTCAACAATGAAGTATGGGGACCTTTCTTTGTCAGCTTTCTTGGCTACTGCGGTTCTACGGATGCAAAGTGGAAGGAGTGCGGTTCGGCCCTGGCGATGTCACATGGGCATTTGTCCGAACGTATGCTCATGCGCTTTGACCCAAATAATAGACTACGAAATATTTCATGAGGGTTCCAAGAAGTGCCAGCTGCACCTCATCACATAGCCAGATACGTACCTGGCATTTGCTTAGTGATGCTAAGCAGATGCGAATGGCAATATGAAGGAGCAGCGGCCAAGTGGGTCGAGCAATCAAGAGCACTTGTGGTGGTCGAACCATGTAGCAAAGTCTTGCAAAACGGTGATAGACTTCCGTCCACTTGCATAAGCAACGATCAACATATCCAGTAGCCGATGGTTTTATTGTAAACGCTTCGCGTTGCCCGCCTCGGCCCAGCCTAGTTTGAGGGGGTCAGGAACACCGAAGTCCAGTGTTGGGAAGGTCCGAATCCTACTGAAAGCTTGTGACCGCACCAGTTCGCCCGTGCTAGTTCGATGTTCGGAAGCCGGAAGGTTTGAAATCCAAAACCAAGACTATCTCAGCTGCTCAGTGCCCTTGGAAAAAAAAGGACCTCTTTCTGGGATGAGCATTTTTAGTGGGGCTTGGCCTCCATAAAAAGGGGAACAATAATTGGTGTCACTGAACAACCAAGACCAACTTTGGGTGTTTGGGCACCTCCATTTCACGTGGCTGGCGGCTTGCCATGACATACAGGTACATGGTGGGAATACAAACCTCCATTTGCTTAAGTACCCCGGAAAAATATCCGGCGGGCTGAGGCCGAAGGGGCTGGGCCTGCTGGATGACTTGGGGCCAGACACGAGCAGGAGGTCAAGGCTGGTCAGCCTGGGCTGAGCTGCTTGGGCAGTCGGACTGGGGGGCTGGGGCACGTCAGACAGGCTTGGTAGCTGGCGTAGCTTGAGACCAGTCTCAGAGACGTGAGACTGGTCGTTGGCCTGAGGCCAGTCGACAAACCTGACCTTGGCACGCTGGGCTGAGCCTGCTGGTGCTGGGGGCCGGCCTAGTGGCTGGCATGCTCTCAGATGCGCCGGGGCCTCGGCTGGGCAGGCTGGGCTGAGGTGGGTTGCTGGTTGGGCTGGGCCTGAAGCTAGTCTCAGCCACAAGCCATGGGTGGGTTGCTGGCTGCCAGGCAGCCGGACTACGCTGCTGGTTACGCCTGGAACTCGGGCTGGGCAAGGCTGTTTCATAGCCTGAGGCTGGGTGGCGAGTTGCTGGGCTGGGCCTGAGGCCAGTCGCAGACACGTAAGACACGCCAGCAGGCGGGCTGAGGGACTGGGCCTGAGGCTACTTTGAGACCAGTTTTAGACTGCGGTGAAGGGGCTGGGGCTGCTGGATGACTTGGGGCCAGACGCGAGCAGGATGGCCAGCCTGGGCTGAGCTGCTTAGGGGCTGGGGCACGTCAGACAGGCTTAGTAGCTGGCATAGCTTGAGACAGTCTCAGACACGTGTTGGCCTGAGGCCTGACCTTGGCACGCTGGGCTGAGCCTGCTGGTGGGCTGGGAGCTGGGGGCCGCCCTAGTGGCTGGCATGCCTGAGATGCGCTGGAGCCTGGGCTGGGCAGGCAGCCGGACTACGGGCTGAGCTGTGCTTGGGCGGGGATGGGCAAGGCCTGTTTCAGACACACTTGGGCCTGAGGCTGGGTGGCGAGTTGCTGGCTGGGCTGGGCCTGAGGCCAGTCGCAGACACGTAAGACACGCCAGCAGGCGGGCTGAGGGACTGGGCCTGCGGCTAGTCTCAAGGACCAGTGTCAGACTGCGCCGAAGGGGCTGGGCCTGCTGGATGACTTGGGGCCAGACGCGAGCAGGAGGTTGGCCTGGGCTGAGATGATTGGCCGGACTGAGGGGTTGGGGCACGTCAGACAGGCTTAGTAGCTGGCGTAGCTTGAGACCAGTCTCAGACACGTGAGACTGGTCGTTGGTCTGAGGCCAGTCTCAGACACGTTAGACAAACCGACCTTGGCACGCTAGGCTGAGCCTGCTGGTGGGCTGGGAGCTGGGGGCCGGCCGTGGGCCTTGGCTGGGCTGGGCTTGCTGGATGACTTGGGGCCGTGCTTGGGCGGGTTGCTGGTTGGGCTAGGCCAGCAGGCGGGTTGCTGGTTGGGCGGGGCCTGAGCCTAGTCTCAGACACGTCAGACAGGCCTGGCAGGACAAAAAGCATTTTTTAGTTGCAATTGTCAGCACATTTTCGACAAATGGACCCATGGAGCTGGACGCCGACGAACCCCGAAAATTTCAAGGCCCGCCGGACAGGATTTTGGGCCAGCCGACATGGGTGGGGGGGGGTGGGGGGGGGGGGCGGCCCGGCAAAATTTTGGGTGGGGAGGGGGTTGGGGGAGGGGAAAAGCGAAGATTCTCTTTGGAGAAGAGATCTGAGCGCCCTTGGCCCCTTTGGGGCCGAGGCGAATTGGGGAGGGACCTTGACAAATTGCTACATGTCCAACAACCACAAAGGGACTCGCTGATTATCCCGTCTCTTTTAGGCTACATATCCTTTCCGCTCACATGGAACCTGTCAGGTCTTCCCTGAGGTTCCATGTTGGGAGGCCAAGATAGCATGGTCTCATGGGGTGAGTAAGGCCTGTATCAAGCTTTGTAACCGTGTAGAACACAAAGTCAGCGGGACTGCTCACATGAGATGGGGCAGGACAAGAAGCTCTTCAACAAAGACGACAAGAAGTGCGCTGGGGCCATCTTGGGCAGAAGCTATTTCCCTCAAAGATGTTTCTTTCAGCACGCTTGCACAACGCCAACGTACTAGTTTCCTGGTTTTGTTCTATTTTGAAAATCAAGCCCAGAAAAGCTTTGCCTTCTAGTTCCAGTTCCTTTGGGCAAGTGCGCCAGAGCACAGAGGTTCGGGCCCGTAGCGGCGTCAGCCGCAAAGGGCAATCATATCAGTGCCCCCCCCTTTACTCTCGGTTCCTACAGCTGTTGGGTCACAGCTTGCTTTGTGCTGTTGGGTGTGTTGCAGGGAGGCGATTGCCATTTGAGCACCCTCCTTCCCGCCCCTGTGAGGGTTTCGGGGTAAAGGGGCGGGGTGTCTGCATGATAAGGCATACGGAGCTCGCCTGTAGGCAGCTCGGCGCGCAAAGACACACAGCCGGACATCGAAGCGCCTTTTGGGCTCCGTGCAAACTGTAGAGTTCACCAACGCTGGCCTCAGCGGATCGCTTCGTCCGGCTTGCAAGGTAACTGTACATTGTTGGGGGTTAAAGTCTGATCAAGGCTTGTGACGAATGTTGATTGCACACGGATATCACTTTGAACCACCTTGGACAGCCACGCGTGCAAACGCCTCAAGGATCCTTCATCAATTTGGTTGAGGCCGTCAAGGGACGTCAGTTAGCTTCTTCAGTAAGAAATCCTTGGACAACTTCCCCAGGCCCTTTTTTCGGAAGCAACAGGCTCAGGGCATCGGGAAGGTCTTCCAGTGGTATCATACAAGTGGGCAATTTCCACGACCCTGTGTGGAAGATGTGACGGGCGCAAGTTGACGTTTTGAGCATGAGGGTTTCCAAGTCCGGTGTATGATTTGTCAAGCTTCCAACAGGTGCACGTTTCATTCATGTTTCTTCAGACCCGTTGGGCAAAAAATCGCAGGCCACACCCGCAAAGCATTGATAAGCAGATCGACGCAAGATCAACGCAGCTTGGACTGAGCTTCGGATGACCTTGTCCGATTCTGCGCAGAGAAGTTGGACGTGCCATCTTGGAAAGAGAAGAAATCCCAGGCCTGAGCGGGGCCACTCGCAGATTCGCATGTTAGAACCCATTTGTGAGAAGCCTCTTGTTTGTCTCAATTTCCCATCGTTCCCCTTGGTAGGCCATTTTGGGGGGCGCTGCTGGTCAGCGGTGATCAGAACGAACCGGGTTCCCAATGGAGGTTTCATTTCCAGCAGTCTTATTTTATGTTGGTGAAAGAACATGATGGCCCTACAAGGTCAAAAGCTGCGTGAGACCCGGTCTGACTTTTTTGGAGGCTTTCCCTTTGATTGAAATATCGTGAAACCGCCGGTTGCGGCGTCCGGGTAGAGGTACAAGCTTCAGCTGCAGAAGCAAAACAAGCTGCTGCACGTTTGCCTTTCTGTTCTGCGCGGACCCAAGAGCATGTGCTGAGGTCCCCAAGTGTCTCCTTTCTGGACCTTGCAAGTGGAACTCACCAGGAAATTGCAACTGTTGAGGGGGGCATGTTGGATCGTTTGGGTTGTCGCTCAACCCAGCGCGTGCTGCGTGCGTGCGTGCGTGCGTGCGTGCGTGCGTGTGTGCCTGCCTGCGTGCCTGCGTGCCTGCGAGCCTGCGTGCCTGCCTCGTGCGTGCACGAGAGGATCTAGCCAAGCCCTATCTTATTAGAATGTCATGTCGGATTGCTACCTTTCACTTGCTTCGTTTTGGTGCGGATTTCAGCTTTTCAATCTCAAGCCCAAAAGGACACCAGAAGAGTTCATAGGTGTCGAGGTGTCCAAACCATCCCCGCCTTAAGTCATAAAAAGGTGACCCGGACCCTCAAACTACCTTACACAAATGGCTCCACATTCTGGAAAAATATAATTTGCAAGGTAGTTTGAGGGCTGCTATTAGCTCACCTCCAGACTGGCTGTCGTGTTCCTGACTGACACGGAACCAGAACAGTTTTTTTGTTGAGACTCAATCAGATTTCATGGAAATGAGGATGGGAGGCTCCTTGGATTTGAGGATTGTGGGTCGTCTTGGATGTGGCGCTCTGGCCCTCCCTTTGAAATCAAGTGGGGGCTCATCAGGGCTTAGAACCGACAAGCACTGTGATCCATGATTTGATTGAGCGCCCAATGGCAGTTCCAGCAGGTTCCCCCTGGCCTCATTGGGGGTTATAGTAGGGCCCTACCTGAACCGTGTTGGAACCAATGTCAACCGGTCTCCCCCGTGAACCTGCGTAGCCAAGCTTTTTTTTGCGGGGGGGGGGGGGGGAGGGTGGGGCGGCTTCGCCATTCCCCAGGCTCAACTTGGCAGAAGAGATCTCCACCGAGAGGAAGATGGCGCGGCGCCCAGCCACGAGGAAGGTTCAGTGGATTTCGCACGGAAGGGAAGCCTTGCAAACCTGTGCAGCTTTCTGCCAGCCGGTTCGCTGGTCCCTTGGAGCACAAGGGGCTGGATGGGTCAATCCAGTTTTTGGTTTCCACGCAAAGATTGCCATCCCCCAAAAAGGCTCCAACTCTTTTCCTACCAGTGGGCAATGCACGCTCAAGCATTCCGAGAGAAGTCCATGCAGCGGGTCCAGCTTGGCCGACAACATACCACCTGCCCGTCTAAGAATTAAGCCAAGTATACTGAAACCTGCGTGCGGATCGTCGTTTTGGTCTGCGTTTAGATTGCTTGAATGAACGGGTTGAGTTTAGAAAGACAGGTTGCAGGATTGACAAAGCAGAGTGCATTGCTGATGGTCAAGTTTTGCAAAAGCCCCAAATGGGCCATGTGCACTGGCCAGACCAATGCCTTTTGGTTCTTCAACCTGCACAACTTGCTTCAAGATGGATCCCTGATCGAATCGAATCCGTGCGAGAGGCTGCCAACAAATCAAGCCTCTTTTGATCCTGTGTATTTCAATACGCATGTCATATTGCCCTCAAACCTCACGCACCAGGTTGACCCTTTGAGCTCTTTGATATGTGTCAAACTAGGGGGACCCCTTAAACCAACCCCGAACTTGCACTCAAAATGCCCGCTTCTCTACCTTTCCTTGCAAGATGGCAAAAATGATTGAGAGGCTGCCTTCAGAGCTAAAGATTGGCTCGTTTTGGAGTTGGGGAGTTGGGAGACCCGGCCAGGTGAATCGCAAGATGCCGCATCTCCTCATACAGCTTTTGGACAGGACTGCTTTTACATGCTCAAAGGATGCGCAAATGACATTTTGATCGGGGAGTTACCAGTGTTGTGCAACATTGGCTCAGCTTACCTTCAAAAGGACACCTTAATAAAGATGTGCAGGGGTCGAAAGTTACTAAAGCGTGTGGTTGGCCCCACCACCTGCGACCCTAGCGACCGGCAAATGTTCGCTTGAAAATCCATTTACAGCTTTTTCAAGATTGTTGAAAGGAAGGTTGTCAATATCAAACATATTTTTACTTATACCAATATAATAATTAATCAATTTGTTAACATTTTATAGGTTAATATAGAAGTGGCTTAAAGTGCAAAATAACTTATGCAGAAGGAAACAATGAATGTAACCATTATATACAATAGAAGCAAACAATAATTTAGAATCCTAGACGTTCAGGTTTGTTGCGTGGATCCCACAAACAGTGCTGGAACTTGCCAGCCCTTTCCCGTGCTTTAAGGGTATCCGTTATGGCTTTGTTTGCGCGGGACACCAGGAGCATCACCCATTTTTGGGGGTTATAGTCATCCTAGAGACACCAGCGAAGAGGAGTTGCTAGGGTTTCATGAACCTCTCAGTGGGGATTCTCACTCCCATTTGAACAGCCAGCTGAATGAACCCAGGTTTCAGTGAGAGGGCATTCACAATGGTGCAAGGTGAACTCGGTCGATCCCACTGATACTGTCCCCGACTCAACCACGCGGTGGAATTGTGTGGACACCACACATTCCAATTACACTATTTGAGCCATACTTGATAGTCCATTAGCCAATAAATCAGGGCTTCGTGCCAGGAGGTCATACCAATTTGTGGATCAGCCGGGTGGCTCTAGCCGCACGGGCTCTGGCCGCCAGACCGCGAGGAGTCAGGAGGACTTGCTGCTGGTGGTCCTCACCTTCTTAAAAAAGCTCTCCGTCTTTGAGGAGAACAAGGCGCGGTCCCGCGTGGTGTTCTTGGTTCGGTTTGGAGCCACCAATCGAAAGTAGCTGGGTCCGCCATTTGAGGACCCCCATATTTAGGGGTATGTCAGAATACGGCCCAAGCATAGTTTTTGGTTGTCCTTTGCTTTCCCTTAAACCTGAGAACTGCTTTCTCAAGAAACACCCATACAGCATATTTGAGGGGAACAGCACTGGCGTTTCATTGGCCTTTCGTTTTGAAGTCTGACTCAACTGCCAGTCCACGTAGGTTCATGTCTTGTTGCAGTGCTCCCAATATTTGGGGTCCCTGAAGTATTCCCCTCAAAAACAACTTTTCTGAGCATGCCAAACACAACTCTTGCGCCAGGATCAGATTGCCGTGCCGGAGACCTTGTCCAACTTGGTGAAACTGGCGCAGAATCCCAACAGTCGCATCGCCCTTCTATCCCTGCGGCTCCTGCCCGGGACCCAGCTCGCCGATATCTCACCGAAGAAGATATTTGTGTGGGCCAAAACACAGCTGTTCAACTGGTTGGTGAATGCAAAAGGCGAAGAAGCAATTGTTTTCCAAAGGGGTCTTTGGCCCAGTGAGCTGGGCGTTGCGCTTTCCTTCTTTACGGGGGGTAAGCCCCTTCTATTGTGGTCCCTTGAAACGGGATTCCCCCCTCTTTTGCGACAGCTCCGCGATTATCGCGGAGGTCGATCAGCTTAGCCTCACAACACGAGAAGGTGAAGGATAGAATTCGGGACTGTCCCATGCCACCAATGCGGCGTTGCGCGCCTTTTCGGTAGTGATGACATTGAGCCAGTTTTTCATGACTCAACTGGGCAACATGTTTTTCTCTTCGCTCGATCCTTCCGCTTCCAAAAACCCACTGGGGATTAGGTTCAACCTCTCCTTCGACGAGCGGGTTCGCGGCGCGCTGGTGGAGTCTGGCATCATCAAGCTGCTGGCGCGGAGATTCGTGGTCATTTGCGAGTCATGGACACAATCTGCCAGAACACATCATTTTCCGTGTGCCCCAGATGTGGGCCAAGTGCACAAGGAGGGAAGGGGTTTTCACGCTTTTTGCGTATTCCACAAACGGTTTTCTCCAAACTCACTTGCTGTTTCCCACATTCCCCGCGCGGTATGGGGTACAAGTTGAGTTAATTACCAACCCCCACCAAGAATGGCTGGAGGTTTGCGAGTCGCATCTTTGGTTTGAGTGGCGAGGTAGCAAAGGTTTGGGCATGCCAGTAAAGCCGGCAGAGCCGGTGGATGAAGGTTTCTAAACAACTATACCATACTTACTATTGCCCCTCGGCCTGATTGAAATGGTCATGGAAACCTGCTGCTTGTTTGCTTCACAAGCGCTTGTGCATCTGCATCTGACTATCTGTTGAGCTATCTATTTGTCAGGCTACATCTCTGTCCAGCTATCTGTTTGTTGGGCTGTCTGCTTGTTAAGCTTACTGTTTGTCTCCCCATCTGTCCGTCCAGTGGTTGTCGAGCTGCTAGTTTCTTTCTGCAAGCTAGCCATTTGTTAAGCTATCTACTTGTCAAGCTAGCTATCTGTCACTATGTCTCCAGCTAGCTATTTGGCCAGATATTTTTCTGTTGGGCTGTCGTGGAAAGCATGCGTTGTGCCAGAGGTGGTCTGCGCTTCATTCTCTATCTATTTAGCCAGCCATCTAATCTTTCGAATGTCAGCTTCTATCTATCTAGTCTCACATTCTATCTGTTTGTCTGCTTTGTTTAATCTATCTTTCTTTCTATCTAATCTAGCTGTCTAGCTATCTAGCTATCTATCTATCTATCTAGCTAGCTAGCTAGCTAGCTATCCATGTATCTAGCTAGCTAGCTAGCTATCTAGCTATCTGCTATCTATCTACCTATCTACCTATCTACCTATTTACCTATCTACTTATCTACCTATCTACCTTATCTATCCATCCGTCCGTCCATCCATCCGTCCGTCCATCCATCCATCCATCCGCCATCCATCCATCCGTCCGTCCGTCCATCCATCCATCCATCCATGTTCCATCTTTCCATCTTTCCATCTTTCCATCTTTCCATCTTTCCATATTTCCATCCTTCCATCTATCCGTCTATCCATTGAAAGTGCTGCGCCTGCCAGGAAATCCGTACCTGACCTTGCAAAAGTGCTGCGCCTGCCACGATATCGGATTCCTTTCAGCATGGGGGTTTTAGGAAGCAGGGGTGTATTCCCACTCTGCAGAAAATTGTTGCGTACTCCGTTTGAGCTGGCCATCACATGTAGCAAGCTTGGGACTGATTGCTGTGAAGCATGCTCCCGGTTTGCACGGCAACCTGAGTGTCGTCTGTGGGTGCTCGGAAAAGCGGAAGGAAGGGCATTCTCTTGGAACTGTGCCTTACTTATATCAGCCGGTTGCAACCCATGCCAAATGACCTGGTCAAAGTTTTCATCTAGACCTGTCCCTTTGGGGCAACAGACACTTCCCAGTGTGTTGTCGAGCTTGCACGTAGTTTCAGGTCGTTAAGGCGAAGTTGTCCTTCGACTTTGAGGTATCCTGAGGCTCCATGGCGATCAAGCCATGCAATGCGTCGCAGTGGGTCTGCCTAGCATCACATGTCGACGTCTGCCCCTGGCGTCTGCTGAGTGGGTCGTGACCAGACCAATCTGAGAGGGATGACCTAGCGCTCGCGGGCTGCATCTGCCGTGTTTGTCAGTGCTTGACCACCGGCATGACTGCCGCGCCATCTTTAGGTTGTGTTGCCCCTGCTGCAAGTGCAAAGATGCTGCGCAGCATAGCTGCTGACATTGTTGATGTTTGGCCGACCAAAGAGTGAGCAAAGAAGGCGTGCGCAGAACCCAAGCTTTGCGCAAGAGCCCTGGCAAATACATTTTTGGCAGTTGCCACGCTTCAAAGGTGTATCAACTACGGCAATCTTGCAGCAGCGTTTGGCCACTGCAGTTCACCACACGGCAAGGCGTATGGATGCACAAGAAGTTATAAATAAACGTCTCTGCTGGCCTTGCTAGCATGAGCTGGCAGAGTCAAGGATGGGACCGGATTGGGCAGCATGTTGCCAACATCGTTTAGGCCACAGCAAGACTTTCGGGATCAGGCAGAGGCTCCCTGATGATATTGCTGCCAGCTTTGGCTGACAGGGCCAAGGAAGTGAAGAAGGACTTGCCTGCACAGAATGCGGCCAACAATATTTGGGCCGCTGCCAAGCTGTTGGACTTCCGCAAGACCTTGCAAGGAAATGAACTCCTTTGGAAGTAGAACAACCAGGGATTTGTCAGCCTGGGTCAAACAGTTTGTGAGGCTTGCATTGCGAGCAACGTTCATGCTGTGGTTCTATTAGAATCACTCGTGGAGGATTCATGCGTATCTAAGTTGAACGTGTTGGAATTGACTCGTTGCTTGGCTGTCCACAAGGGGTCAGATTTGGAGATTTTGGAAGATGAAAGGGGCCCCCTCTTTGAGTGTAGAATGCCAAATTACTTTGAGCGGTCTGTTTGTTTCTCTCAAGAGGAACTGTCAAAGAGCCAACCGCAAAAACCAACCTCAAAGGGGGTCCAATCAACCTCAGCAGATCCGGCCGACTGGCCGGCAGGTGGACCTGCTAAAGCACCCGCCCTTCAGACACAGCGTGCTTCGTTTGCTGCAGCCTGGCAGAAATTGGGGCTGCAAATTAGACTTTGAAGCCTTGCAGCTTGGAGTATAGGGGTGTCTTTTTGCGGCATGGACCCTTGTGGGGTAGCGTTACTGGGAATTAAAAGGGACTCAGCAATATTTCGAACATCATGTGCACAAGTATTGAAAGAGGACCGTCTATGACTACTTTGTCACATTGAAGATTCGATGAGGATTGTGGTTGTATGTCAACACATGGCACGAAAACCCTACTATCCAGCAGTTCCCACAACCTCGGTGTAGATTCCATAATAAACCGGCCAAAAATTGAGCTCAATATGGGCCTGGGTTTGCCCTTTTGATGGCTCCCCAAACACGTGCATGGGTTGCGGGCTAAGGTCTTACAAGCAAACCGAAGCGCGCTTGACACCTGTGAGGTATCACTTCTCCATGGACGAGCGCTGCAAGTCGCTCATGGCCTTCCACGGGGACTGTGGGTCTTGTCGATGTGCGCGCGAGCGATAATTTCCTGCCGTCTTCAAGGTTTGACCCATGGCTGGCGGTTTCAGACACAAAAGGTAGGCTCACAGAGGTTGCTAGAATGCTTGCATGTCTGGCTGGATGGCTCGGGGAGCTTTTGGAGGCTCCTGCAATGCTTGGATTTCAGGGTGTTTTCTTCGGGCGACTCCCTGGTTCCCAGTTGCAGAAATGGATTTGTGCAGATGAGCCTGTGGGGCCCCCTCTGATTCTTTTGGAAGCCCATTCCTAATACAACAGATGATTTCCTGTAAGAATAAACATGTGCTGCCCCATGTTGACACCCCTGCAGATTATGCATGGCACCCCAAAAGGGGCTCTTTGCCTGGCACCAATTGGAGATTCCTCCAAGCATGATGAGTTTGGGCACCTTCCTAGAACCAGGCAACCTTGGGATGAAGCGAGCGAAAGGAGTTACGTGTCTGGCGCCCTGTTTCGGCTTCGTCCGCTGCTAGTTCTCCCCTGAACACCCCAACAAAGGCTTGAGGTTTGCGCTTGTTGCCGCCGGCAAGAAAACAACAGGGCAACTCAACTCAGCAGCCCAACGAGTGAAACGCCCAAGCAACGGTTAAACAGCTCTACAACTGAAGCACCCAACTGAGCAACCCGATTGAACGACTCCGCAGGAAGGCATGACCATGCTTCTGCAGCTGGTAGTGCATTTCCCAGAGCCTCGAGTGGGCAAGGAGCCGGGGCTTTCGATGGGCAACTGGCTGTTTCAAGAATTGTTGTAACCAGAGAAACCTCTCTCAGTTAGCAGGCATGAAATGACCTAGCTTTCAACCGGTTTGGATTTGCTCATTGTGTCAATGATCTTGGCACGTGCTACGTTTTTTTTTGTTTTGTTTTGTGTGTGTGTGTGTGCGCGTGTGTTCATGTTTGGTTGTGGTCTGCAAAACACGCGTGTCTTGCTGTCGGGAAGCTTATTCAATTGGAAGGCCATGACCCAATGGTTCAGAGTCAGTGAGTTGCAACCGCTATTAGGCGGTGACATGGAAGCCACTAGGTACCGGGAGGAATGGCGGAGAGCTTCTATGGAATCGATGGGATCGGTTCCCGAAATGTGGATTTCCAGCCGGGAAAAGAGGGGCAGACTGGGGCAAGCCTCGAGTCAGGACTGATTCACCGGTTAAGGCCCAGTCACCATGATGACCTTGAGGGAAACTGCCAGGGGATGGAGGCACTCCTTGCAACATGCGTCCTTGTCACTCTCCTTGCCGCCCGGCAGAGTCCCCCGCAAGGGCTCTCTCATTTTCCCGCAAAGGACATTCCTTTGCATGAGGATCAGACATACCAAACAAACAGATATATTTTCCCTAAACCACTGTTGGCAGGGTCTTTTTGAGGTGGTTTTCCTTTTTCCTTCCACCTGACTTCCCGTTTCGACCCGGAACCTGTTGCTTCGGCAGCCTTGGGGAAGGAGCAATTCGGGGCCGAGCCCGTCGGTGCGGGAGCCGAACAAGCTGTCCAGGACTTGGTGGCGCTCATGGTGAACCTCGCCACGAACGCACGGGCAGCGGAGGCCGGGTGCGTCGGTCGGCTTGGAGGCCCCCTGGCCTTGGGTTCGGGACAAAGCTTCAAACACAAAGGCAGAAGCGGGAGAAGCCCTGCGAAGCTCCGGAAGCTCCTGGGTTTACTTCCGTGGGGTTTTTCAGCGTGGAATCCCAAGATTCTGCCAAGTGCATGGATCGGGAATTCCAAGGGACCCTTTGAACATGGTTTACATGGTTGGATCTGTGTGCATCACAAAATGTTCAAGAGTTATAGCCACATGTGTGTGTGGTCCCAGCTAAGCCTTCGAGCACGTGGAAGCTAGCTGCTCTTGTTCATGTTAGGGGCTGGAAGGATGTTTTTGTTCTGCTTCTGAACCTCTTTGTTTTGAGCTTTTGACCCATTGTTTTTTTTTGGGGGGGGGGAGATGAATGTGGCGTCTTTTTACGGGTGTCCCTTCGTTTTTCGACAGTGCGACAGGTCAAGACTGGTGGTTACACATGGTTTGAGAATACCAGAACCGCTTAAAATGACGTGGTTTCTCTTCGTCTCCCATTTGAAGATAACCCCAACAGCGAACATGGACACTCAAACCACCCTTAAGAATTGGCAGTCACACCAAGTTTGGGGCAATCTCCCGTTCGTAGATAAGGGAGGTTTGAGGGTCCAGGTGTCTCACCTGGCGGTTCTTAGCTTTGGTCTTTTTTGTGGAAAGCAACGCGAGAAGGGCACCAACTCCAAGAAGGAGCTCCTCCCTCTTGGCATGTTTTCGACTACCTTCGGTCAGGTCCATTGTGGAAAATGCGGGTTTATGGCTACTTCCTCTGATACCAAGGGATTCTTCCCAAGTGGACAAAGTGCGCGGATGGGAGGGGATCCATTTTCCACGATGGTCAGATCTACCGGTCTCCCGGAAATGGGCGGATTTTTCCCCAGAATCAGGTCATTGTACAGAGCGGCCTCTTCCCCCCGATTGTGCTCCGCGTCATGAAGCACCGGGATCCGCTGCTCTGCAAGGCCGGCCACTGGAAGGGCTGGAAGGGTGGGCTTTGGCAAGGGGATGCCCCAGGAAAGGACAACCCTGCACTTCTTGTTGGAAAAACACTCCGCCAGGTTGATCAATCCCGGGATTGACCCAAATTGACGCCTTCCGCATAGTAAAGGCCCAACAGGTCTAGACGTGCCCAAGGAACATGGCCATGGACTCCTTGATTTCAATCGGGACTGGGTCGCCAGAAATGGGGCAGCATGACCAGTGGTATTGGTCGCGGCAACCGCTCCGTCTCAAATTCAGGTAACCCTGGGCCCAATTGCCTTTCTGACAACATCGTTTCATGTCGGACTGATGACTTCCTGAAGTCACCCTCGAGTCAGTGGCCGGTTTAACTTTGACAAACGCCGGAAACGACCCAAAAGAATGGACCCAGAACAGCTGGTCGATGGTGTTTCTTCCTTGGCTCCGCCACAGAGGCTTCACTCATTGAAAACGATTATGCCCTAAACGCGACAGAGCCCGCAAACGGCTCGCTGTTCGAAGCAAAGCTGCTGCCAAAACAAAACGAAGTGAGCAGAGGGTTGACTTCTTGAGGATGTGTATTCCCAGAATGCAACAAAGTCCGCACAGGGATCACGTTTTGAAGGAAGGCTGTTTCCAAAGCCCGTTCGCTTTCTGAAGACACCTGTTTGGGTCGTCCCTTATTTATCCGTATTTTTAAAAGGCAAAAGGTCGAGCCAACTGCCACTGCCAGATTTCCATTGACAATGCATCTTAGTTTCAACATCAACTCACTAAAGCTTTCTGCCAAATCCATTCATGCACGGAGCCTCCCTACCAGCAAACTACACAACTCAGCCCAATATGGCGTCAGAAACTTGGGCGAGTTTTGCTTCGGACTTGGTGGGTTGTATTGTGATTTTGGGAGGTCAACAGGCTGTTCCTTTTTCTCTATCCTCCTCCTTCCAGCCTGGGTTGGGTTTGTCTCAAACTTAGAGGGCTCCCCAAATGAGCTTCCTTTTGGTGTCCTTTTTTAAACCGACCCAAAAAGGGACAGCGCACCTTGCCCAAAGAGATGGGTGTGCGCAGGTGATTCGTCATGTGGCCTCGCATCCGGGAGTCCTAGAACAAATGCTAGATCTCCTCGCCAGTGAGGGCGTGCCTGCCCCAGAGCTGACAGGCGTGGCTTCATCGGGGTGAACGACCCCGTTTTTGCAGTTGGCTGTCATTCGTGTCTAGTGGCTGTGGCTTCCATGGGGAAGAACCATCTTCGAGAAATTGCATTTTTGGGGAAGTTCAGTGCGTGAATGCCCTATGCAAAAAGATCTTGGAGGGTTTGTTTGCTCGTCTCCCTCCTTCCTCCTTGAATGGCGCATTTCTATTCACAGGTTTCAATCAGAGCCCAAGGCTCATGTGAAGCATCAACACCAACCAGGCTAGGGGATCATGTCCAGCCAAAACTGAGCACCTGATTGTCATATCTAAAAAACTACCAGGCGGCAAACAGGCAAAGGAGAGATTCCCAAACATAAGCCAGACACCGCCTTTTTAATTCCTTGCTTGCTTGAGCCAAACGGCATGCGGTGCCCTCCTTGCACGTCATGAGATCACCGTCGGGCCCGCCCGAATGAGGGGCTTAGCCCATCGGTGCTCTGGAACCGTGGCTTATGCCAGTCTAAAAACACCTGGCTTGCTCAGCCTTGCATTTGAGACCGCACATGGGGACGCACTTCCAACCTGGCTTCACCAACAAAGGCTGCGACTTCATGAAGGTTGGCACTTCAGATTGGAGAACAAACAAAATTCACCAGAAGAGGGACTCCTTCTCCAATTTTCGGAGCCGCGGGTGCCCCGGGATGAGATCTCGTTTGAAATCATTTTGCATATTTCAGGTTCACCGCATGTGGCCCTAATTGAAACTGGGTCTGCGTTTCTTCGAGGGTACCCTTTTCAGGTTAGTTCAAAGGGAGCCAACACAACAATGGACGGAGTGGCCACCTGAAAGCATGCCCCTCCGATTTGGTTTTTGTTTTGGGGGGTGTGTGTGGGCCGGGGGGGGGGTGGTGCAAGCCACAAGCTTTCGGTGAAGCGTTGGGACTCACTCCCCGAGGTGCGCATGGCCAAGTGGATGACCGAGTTCGTGCGCATGGCGCTGACCTCCGTGGACAACCCCGAGCTGCTCCTGGAGGCGAAGACCCAGGGTGTTGGGAATGAACCTCGGGATTCCCTAAACCGCGGACAGGTTTTGGGTGTGTCTTTTTTTGTTGGTGCTTGGTTTACTGGGAAACCAACAGGGTCCAAATCCCGGTTTGAGACAACCCGATATTTGTTGGGTTGTTGGAAACAACTCATTTTAGGTTCTTTGAGGCAACCGTTGATCTCCCTTTGGAGTTACAGTTGCAACCGATGTTTCTGTAAGCCTTGTTGCGGAAAAACCTACGTAGCCTTCGGCCTCAATTGACTTGGTATGTCTCTGACTATGGGAACTCTGAAAATGGGTGGGTTTCTTTTGGTTTTCCCTTCAAACAGGGAAATTACCCTCAAGAGAGACACTCGGTTTTGCATATCCCAGGAATCCCCTTTGAAAGTGAAGTAGTAGTGATTGGGATCTGGGCAAAGCGGTCGACTGAAGAGATCTGGTTTGTGGCCTTTTTCAGCCGCTCTTTCCATGGGTGATTTAATAAACTCACCCAGTAGAATGCGCATGACATGTCGAAGAGCCATCGCTTCTTTGCTCTTTGCTTCGACCAAGCTCATCTTTGTTTTAACATTTTCAACAGCGAGGAAAGTTCCCCCACCTACGGAAGATTCCCTCAAAACCCGCTCAAGACCCAGAACAATGAGGAGTTTTGCGCCTGTAAACCAGTTGGGAGCATGGGTTTTGCTTGTTCTAAAATCTGGCCAAAGAAGGCCACACGGAACACCAAAACTGCCCCATCCCGGGTGGCTTCCTTTGGGATTCTCCAGGTTCATTCCCAATCTTTAAGGTTGGTTTAGAAGGAAACCGAAAGGCAACCCGATTTCCATTTTTTGGGGCCCGTAGTTTGACACATGCCTATTGAAGCAGCAAGCCTTTGCCCTCATCGACTCTATGAGTTACTCTCGCGTGAGGTCCTTGGAACCTTGGCCAACGTCACGGTGGAGGAGGCGGAACGAACCCAGGTTTCTAGGCGGTGGAGGTTGTCGTGATATGTGAGAAGTCGAGAACAAATTTCTCTAAACATAGATGTTTGTTGCGGTTTCATGGGTTACTCCAAGGAAAGTAAGAGCTTCTTCTTTCAACATCTTTCGACCTCTGCGTGCTTGAGTTTGCGTTGTTGAGTACTCTTTCTATTAGGGTGTTGGAGAAGCCACCGCACCACTGCCCCGCCACGTTTGGCGGTGAGCATCCACGTTTTTGTTTGCTGGGACATGTTCTGCTAGCTGGTTTGGGGATAGGGACGCCCTGAAGCGATCTGCAAGGATTCGGGCAGAACAAACCAATCCAAAGGTTTCAGGCATCTGTTTTGCGGTTACAGACTGAGAAAGTGAATTCGCTGTGAATTCTGATCGGCCCTTCCCGTGGGCAATCCCAATGCCACAAGGTGCCCAATCTTATCTCGCTTGTGGAGGTAAATTCAAGGACAGAACCATTAAGGTGAGGCTGGTTGTATACTCTGTTTGTGGCAAGAAACAAAATAATGAAGAACGGACCAGGGTGGACTCGAGCCACCATAGACATGTGTTCAAGCCAGAGGCTGACAACAGTGACGCCTTGCCCACCCATGTGGCGACTGGTCCTCGTACGAAGAAACTTTTGAATTGGCAAGAACAAAATGACACGAACGTACCAAGTTTGGTTCCGAAGTGTATCCCATTTTGCCACCGTGTCTAGCCTGCTCTGGCCGCTTGCTGTGCCGTTTGGCTCGAAGTCTCACTGGGCCATGGGACCCACCCGGAAATGCGGGCTCTTGCGGACAGCGTGTTTTGGGCGCCCGCCACAAGCAGCCAGCGACTGGCATGAGACCAGACCAATGGAGGCTAAGGCGCCATCTACATTGCCCCAGCCCAAGTACAAGTCAACACCACAGTCACCTCACCCAACTCGGGCGGCTTTACTCGAGCTGCCTGAACATATGCAATACTCCAGGGGGTTGCTCCCACACCCCAAAAAGCCGAGTTTTGCCTTTGGCGTCTTTGCACCTCCGTCTCGTTTTCTGGGCGCTTCTTCGACATGCGCCGGCGCCCGCAGAGCGCAGCGGGCGGACGGGTGGCGGCGAAGCCCCAGTTCTTCTGGGCTCTGGAGGATGTGCCCAGCGCCCTGCGCAAGGATTGGGCGAAGACCAAGGGATCTCAGAGGGGTGTTCCCCTCCAAAAGTGATGAATCCCAACTAAACCCAGGGGGTTCATTAAAATGGGGTCAGCATTAAGCATGGGGTTGTATGTGTATATATATATATATCAGTGTTTTCGGAGTTGGTACATCTTTACAAGGTTGGTTTGCTCACGGATCCTTCTCAGACAATTGCCCAAAGGGACAATGGTAGGTTTGTGAAACCTTGACAATGGGGAATCAACCCGTAGATGAAGTTCTGATTGGGCCTCCTTGTTTGGTCGCCAATTTTGCGCCAGGAGGCGGTGAAGCCCTTAGCCTATGCCCATGATCCCACAAGCTGGCTCATCTACAGGCACGATGGGCCGGGGCTGGGGTTTGGGCAGCTAAGAGAAGTGAAGTGAAGGAAGCCAAGAAGCCATGATCTCTGCGTCCCTTTGCTGATTTTGTTTAACGTCTGCCCCCATATTGACCAAGATGACTGGTAAATATGTTGCAAATGGAAGTTCAAGGATTAAGGACTCCTATTGAAGGCCCGGTTCTGTGAAAAGGAGAAGCGTTGATCAACCACTTTTCAATTCAACGGCTGTCCAGCGCGCTGAAGCTGACCCGGTCTGGCAAAATTCTCGGAGACACACCGACAAGAATGGGTTGAAGCAGAAACCTTGCCAGGAGATGCGTGCTTGGTCGTGTTTTGCTGTCTAAGCTCTGTCGGACAACTCCCAGATGTTGGTTCGTTCCTTTTGTATTGAACCCCCTTGTCAAGGGGTCCATGACAGTGAAGGGCTCCAACTGCGTCCAAATTCTCCCTTCAGAGTGGTTGAGATGCGGCACATGCGCTCTGAGAATACACCCTGCCTCACTAGGACATTGTTTTGCCAATGCGATGGAGGAAGCAAAAGCACGGGTTGCAGAATGCGGTTGAGGGGAAACTGGATGGATGCTTTCTATTGAAGGGATGGATGGATTGGATTTGTGGGTGTTCGGTAGGTGCATGCGGACGCTATTCCGCAATGGTTTGAAGGGGGACGGACGCATTGGCGTTTGGGTGCATTGATGGGTGAATGGATCGATGGATAGGCACGTGGACTGAGCATTGAACTCGGCACCCACTTCGCAAATCGTTGACTGCCCCTTGCTCTCCAGAATGACCACTCCAAAAGACGACGTTTAAGAATCATAGCCTTTCGAAATTCGGGGGCGGGCATATGATGTGTAAGTATATCTAGTGTGGTGTCACATGAAGAAAACTGGTATCATATCGTAGTGTATTGCAACTTATTGTGTCGCATTGCATCATATGGCAAGTGATATAATGGTCAGTTAGTTTATGACATGTCGTGTACTTGCACTTTGTGCTATGTTGAATTGGTGTGGCCTTGTGGCTATGTTGGGGCAGCACTCAATGTTTTGTGATGTATTTGCACACACATATGCATACACATCCATTTCTTAAGTTTCGATCCGCGCATTCAAGGACTGTTTTCATGTACCCCTGAGGGTTTCCCCCTATCATAGCTCCGAAGAATGCTGTATGTAGCCACGTGTTCTTGGCATGTAGCCCAAACTGGGTAAAGTTTCTCTGGCAAACTGGAGCTCCCAACCCCAGGGTAATGTTGACCCCAGATTAACATAAACCTTACGGATGTTCCCCCGCGAGGAAAAAGCAGAGGACCCCAGATGCCAGAGAAGTCTGGCGGAGGTTTCTTTGAGGTTGTTGCCCCCTCCAAAAAGGAGGTAATGTTGACCCCCGTATATTTCAAAAGACCTTGAGGATGTGAGTTTGTGGCCCTCGAAAGACAAACACGAGTGCAGAGAGGGCGCAGGGCCAAAACAGTCGAGGCATCGGAGCGGGGAGCTCACGAAATCAGAGCTGGAGCAGCTGCGAGAGCCGGGCAGCGTCCTACAGAAGGTGCCGTTGATCCCAGGGTGTCTCCTCGTTTTGTGTTAGTTATTCGTTTTACTACCCATAAACACGGCATTCCCCAAAATTATGGGTTGATTTCCCTTTTAATGGGTAGTTTGAGGGTCCAGGTATATACTTTTTGGGAAGCGAGATATGAAACACAGTCTGAAAGTCTTCTTTTTAGGATTGGGATTGGTCATGATTTGGACTTGGGGCGTATGCAACTTGAAAACTGGTTGGGGATTTTGTCCAGCCCGGATTTTCCTGCGGGGAAGGCTGAGAATGGAACTGAGTCTCTTAGACGGGCTTTGGGCGGCTCAGATTCCTGAAACTATGATGTAAGCTGAAAGGCACGGCATTTGTACAGGAATCTGTAGGATCCTTGTTCGGGGTAATTCGCTTGGGGCTTTTTTGGGGACAAGTCCTTTCAGGAGAGCACTTTGCAGGCAATTGGTTTCTTCGCTCAGCGAGTCTAAGGTTCATGGCTGGATGCATAGAACCTGGACTTTTAGGGCTTCAGGCGAATCATCTTGGGCCCTTTTGGTGCACCGCTAGGGCTAGATGTCCCTTTAGACATCAAGTCCTTTGGGCCCAGAGGTGAGGTTCCCTTGGCGGCCAGCCCGATCTTCGGGGCACGAAGGGCTGCGCTGGTTCGCCCCAAAGCGGCCTTTTCCACTCCTGGACTCCCGGTGCCATGTGTTGCTCTTTTTTCTTTTTTCGATTGGGGCGTCCCTTTGACAACTTCGAAAAGGGCTGCCCTTCTTTCCACCACTGGTCTGGGTTCCTAAGTCCTAAGCTGGCACACCCTCGGCGGGGTGAAATGGGTGAATGATCTTACGAACCCCGCACTCGCATTTGGTTCAGCGGGTGTGCAAAAAATCCTAGGCGCTTGTAAGACAGACTTTTGGTGGACGCGAGCGGCTTTCAGCGGCAGGCGCTGCGGAAGCCCATCCTGGGCCGTCCCTCCAGCGCCCCGCAGCTCATGGGCCAAAGCAAGGCCAAGGCGCCCCCGCGCCCCAGGCCGCTCGACCCGGCCATGAAAGGAATCGGCAAGGCCGCCTGGGAAGAGCCGGACAGGCAGGGGGGGGGCATGGTTCTGAGGGCAGACACCTTATGGCCGAGCTTTGGACTTGGTTCAAAACGAAGACCTGGTCTCTTTTCAGTCAAAGTTCCGAAAGGCAAATCGCTGATTTCTGCTTGGGCAAGCATTTTGCTGACTCCTTTCCCATCTAGATATGAGCTTAACCCCGAAAAGAGAGCGGAATCGCCGGGCTTGCTTTGCAAAACCATTGGTTGCGATTGAGGCTTCCACATCCTCAACTGCTAAACAGGCTTGCATCGGTCCCGAACAGCTAAGATCTCGCACAAATGTCAAAAGCACGGGGGGTGGGGGAGAAAGAACAATGGCACCCTTTCGGAACCAAGCCGGACATGTAACTCGCCAGCAGGCGTTGACAAGAGAAACCCCGCGTCGGTCATCTTGTGCCGCCCTTCTGGTGTCCAGCCTTGGCTGCTAAATAGCTGATGTTGGTTCATTATCCGCCAAACAGCACGGAAAAGGTAAACTTGAGCTTTTCAGAGCCCGCATGCAACACGCCCGTCAGGCCTGGCTCCAGTTTGTCTCCTCCGAAGATCACATCCTTTGAGGAGAAGGCAGGGACCCGAGTGTCTCTCTCCGACTCTGGCGGCTTTAGGGGGGTGCGTGGGCAATGAGAAATAGGGTCTATTGGCAACCTCCTTCTTGACCGTTTTGGGGTGTTCAGGTTTGGGCCTGCGACATGGTCTCTGCTTTTTGCGGTTTCTGCAGTTTCCCAATGTTTCAATACTGTCTGCATTCAGCTCTCATTGTGGTTGTTTCTGCTGATTTCCGGCTGGCAAGGGTTGAGAGGGTTGGCTTGTTTTCAAGGCCAGTCTTCAAGAGTGAAAGCC